TCGAGGAAAATCTTTTCTGACCCAACACTCTCGTGAAATTGTAAACCCAGGATCCACCTGGATCTCGATTTTCCAAACCCAGCTGGATTTCACGCGATCGATGTTGCATCTCGTTCTTTCTTACGTTTCTAATTCGATGCTCAAAAGTTGATTCGACGGTACCTGTGAAATAAGCAATGAACAACGAACTAGAACAGTTTAATCAGTTTAATAGAAACTTATCGAATGCGACTGGTATTGATGCAGAACAACTGCATGGTTTCCGGTGCGTGCCTATTTTTTTTTACAATTCATTTTCATTCCGTCTACTACCGTGACGACGTTCCCTTCCTGCATCGATAAATTCGTTATCCATTGGAGTTTTACTTTTGTTAAGTATTTTCTACTTAGGTAGGTGCAACGTTAGTCTCAGTAAATAGAGATGAATATGTATCTTACTTGCGTTACGATACTTCAAGTATCGATGGGACATAGGATTGTTCAAATCGTAATCTCGGTACAAGCTGCGTACAAAAGTAAAATGACCGTCTTTCCGAAGATAATGGTAACATTGTAGTTGATTATGGCGAGATCGCTTATCGTGCTCGATAAAGTACGATAGACTTACTGTATTTTCGAAACGTCTGTACGTCGACGTGACCGGTAATGCGGTTTAAAATGTACGAACAACATTTCCATTAGGATTTACAATCTAGGGCTGAGCAGTTCGTGAAAGTATATAACGAATCTTAAAATACTAATGTTTAAAATATTTATTTTGGAAATATACAATAATCATCAATGACGTAACGTCAATGTCCGTGTAATTGGTGTACACGAAAATAAAGTATGTACGTGTATGTACGACTAACAGTAAGAGTAAAAAATAAATAAAACTTTCTGATACACATATATGTTTACGATACAAAAATGTTTAATCCGCATATACAGTCTTAAAATCATGATACAAATTTCTATACATCTTCACGACAGACTGACGAAATTATGTAACAAAGATGACCGTACGTAATGAACGATGTAAAAAGATACTTTCACGTTTCTTCGCATGACACAGCATGCAGATGGAAAACGCAATAAGATATGAAATTTTCTAGAACGAAGTACATAAATTCGGTGCAGTTTGTTTTTATATATCTTATACCTAATTGTAACATTGATAGGAATAAAAATAATGAACAAGCCAAGACGATTATAAAAATGCACTTATCATGAATCTTGCTGATCGCGATTCAGAGCCCTGTGATATTCTTCCGTTAAATGTTTCTTAAACTTTGTCTGATCGTTCCATAATTTTGCAGCTTGTGGATTAAGGGGGCTTTCGTTGTTAGGTTCTAAGAGAAAAAGGCAGGATACGTTTATTGTGCTACTTTTCAATGTACTTGTTAGTTGTTTGTAACAATTCTATCCGTATAAAATTTACTTACCACTAAGAAGGGACTGTATAGATAATAATATAGTACGCACATCATACAAAGCACTCCATTTGTCTTTTAATATATCTAAACAAATATTACCCACTGTGTCCACATTTGGATGAAAACAAGGAGTGGCAAAACGTACAATAGGAGCGCTATAAGGGTAACTATGAGGGAATTCTAAAGTTAATTTGTATGTAAGACCGGCGTAAACCTGCGGTAACAAGAAAGAGTTACTTGTCGTGTCTGTTGATAATTTTGTTACAACGTAGTAAATATTACCGTGTCCCTTGGTCCTGTGATAGTTCCTATCCACTTGAATAAATTCTCACCATCCGGAAAGGCAGAGACACCTTTCTCTGTATTCATCATCAAAACCATGAGTTCCTTTTGTAGTCTATAATACACATAAATTAATGAATACTTTGTTAATAGCAGTAAGAAAAAATGATCGATAAATAAGTCTAGTGTAAAATATAGTTTCAGTCATGAATGTATGCAATCTGGGAGCGAGCTAATTTTTCATTTTTCGTCCAAACATTGCAATAAGGTTATGTACTACAGTACAACTGTTATAACAAAGCTCGTTCGTTGCATACAACTTTGGTGAACAGGTGAAAAAAAACAGAAGAAGAAAAAACGAGGCAATAATAAATAATAAAGTGAGAGCGAATGGAATATGCGTAAGAATAAGGTCAGTTAATAAGACGTATTTTTTGAACGTTCGATCAACTTTCCGTACCGTTTACTAACTGCGTGGTTATCTTTTGGTATATTCTGTTTTTCCTCAGCTGCTTTACTTGGTGCATTTTGAGACGAATAAAATGGATTTATATTTTGTGCCATTCCGAATCGAAAGACACGCTTGATAGATCCTTGATATTATTTATTCACAACACGAGATTTCCGAAGCTTCGGTTTCAGACACAACAGTCACTGTGGAAATTTGAATGTTCGAGCTTCTACCAACCCTCTTGAAAACATTTGACTCAAGAACAGCTGTTGAAGGTGAAGCATGCGGTTTTGTTTAATAAATTGATCACAACTAATAGATAGATCGAAACCAGTCGGGAAAGAAAACGGTATCGATTTATTTGTTCGAAAAAAATTATTTCGTTTCGATCGTGCGTACGCTTAACAAAACGCTTCTACCATGGATTTCAGATTATGCGTAGAGACAATGACAAATGCATCATCGGTCTTTGGCGAAGGTAAGCATTTACGTTTTTAACAGTGCCTGAAACGTGACTTTCGAGAGTTTTGAAAAACGATACGACACACCTTTAAGAAATACAGTTTTCACTTTGTTCGGTTGCTCGATCGTCTATAAATTCACGATTCCGGTTGAGAATGATTTCAACGTTGATTTCCTATGGCGACGTTACGTTGATGTCAACAGTGTCTATACGTATGTATATAAAAACGATATTACCGATTTGTCGAAACGTTTACAAGGAGAAAAAAACAAGCGAAAATTGCACGGTATAAATGGTGATAAAGAGAAAGAGAAGAATGTAATTAACGAACTGGACATTGAAATAGGTAGAGGTCGGAGGTGACGGCGATGAAAATATTATGTACGAAGAAGCATCGTAATTAAAAGATTTAGAACTTGTAAGAAATGGCCACGGCGCAAGGTACACCGGAATCAGATACTGGAAGCTTCGAATGCTTTCAAAATTATACAGCACCAGAGGTATTTATCCAAGGCCTGGCTGGCATCGTGGACCAGCAAGATGTAGAATCTATGATAAGGGCTCAGAAGCAAATGTAAGGATATCGGTTGAAATATTTATAGGGCAACGAGACGTTTCTCTGATTTATTTATCAAATGTTACTACGCAGGTTGCAGAGATTCGAAAAGACCAACGAGATGCTGACGAACTGTAACCAGTTGTTGGTAAATAGGTTGAAAACTGCTGGGAACGAGTTTAAAAAGCACACAGCATTACTGGTTGAAATGAAGAGGGATCTGGATTATATTTTTAAAAGGATTCGCGTTGTAAAGAATAAACTGAGTCAGCAATATCCACAGGCATTCAACGGTAGGTATATATAGCTGAAGTATGTTTTCTGTAATATTACATTTGTAAAGGATGGTACATTGGTGTGAAATATTTGGTCAATGTAGAAGCAGTAAGAAGCAGTTTGGCGGAAGAAGTAATCGTCGAAGATGTAGATTGCTCCGTAAAACCGCTCGAACCTGAAATCGTACCGCTACCAAGCGCGTCTCATATCGTTACGGATCGAGATCCAGATTCTGATGGTAACCAAACTTGCAGTACAAGTAATCGTATTACCGTGAAATAACTTTACTTAAATTGCGATAGATTATTAGTTAGTTATTTCGTTAAAGTTCTCTTCTTCTCCTTCTCCTCCTCCTCCGCCTCCGCCTCCGTCTCCGTCTTCTTCCGTTTTCTTTTCTCTCTAGAGATCTCTATTTGAAGCGAAAAGAAATCCTTTTGTCCTACCGAACGAGATTTTGTTGAAATTCTATCATGTACTCGTATAATAAGTATTTTTCGTTTGATTCGACTAAAATTACCCCGTGGTATTTACAATTATAAACGGACGAAGTAACGATAAGTCGACGTTGTTTCTATTTATAGCATTCGATTTTACAATGTGATAAAACTAGTGGACATAACGATACACGCTATTATACGTGATACTGAATTATAAGTGAAGATTTTCAACAACACGATGTTAATTCCCTTTTTGATAAATAAATCGTAACGAGAAGTTGATACGTAGAAAGTTTCGTGGAGGATAGTGAAAGCACAGCTGTTATTGTTAATAATTAAACAACTGTTTACAATTAAATCGTTCGCACCTGCTGCGTGTATGTGGTATTTAGTTGATACATTGATCCGAATTTTCTGTGTACATACTCGTGTATATGTATGTATAGAAAAGTTGAGGAAAGTGGAATAAATACAAAGAGCGTGTATCATGTTGATAACACGTGTGTCTTTATCGAACGGTTCATTATTGCCGCATCGTGACACTTTGTGTGAAAAGCATTACGCAGTTAAGTCGCTACTCGTATCGTGCTTTTTGCTATAAAATATATACGTAATTTTTTTTTCTGGTCGTTGTTAACGCCGTACAATGTACATGTTAGAGCCATAGTATCGAAAACGTATCGTCTTGTATCGAAATGTAAGAGAAGATACACGGGTGAGGGATCGTGGATGGTTGAAAGGATCCGCGTACGGATCTCGCGGTGTACAATGGCTGTAACGTAAGTGTGACACTGTAACGAAATGAATTTTCACAAATAGCACCAGAAAATACAGATGCCTTTCGTTTCGACCTTGCTAGACACGATTCACTTGGTTTTATTTCCCGATCGTTAAGGAGTACGATCGTTCTCCTTTCCTGAATTCGCGCGCGCCCGATTGCGCAAACGAAACTAATGACTACTTCAATTATTGTTGATGTACAGTGCCGGTTGAGGAGTTTCAATTCGCGAAGCTGCGGAAACGACGAATAAAGAGCAACGATAGTTCGTCAACGGAGAGCAACAACGATCACAGTAACGCCGATACTTCGTCCTGCACGTCCGATACTGGTTAAAGCGTTCGATCCAGAGATAGACGAAATAAGAGGGCGACGAATCACACGAGAAGAGTTCGAAAAAAAGGTACAAATAGAGGGGAAGGAAAAAAAGAAGGAATCGCGAAAATCGTTATACGACAATAACGGTGTTACTCGATCGGTAGTGGGATCGACGAGGAACCATTACTCGTGAAAATCGAGAAGAACGTTCCTCCACCGATTGCATGTGACATGAGAGAAACGTAGATGCACGCGCAATCTTACCTTTGTAAATGGCTGAAATCTGTGAATTGTGTCAGTTTCGAGTAACCGTAATAATAAAGCATTCTTTGTACACTGTAGAAGAGAGTCGATCATTCCGTAGCGGTAAGTAGGACGCGTGTCATTAGGGTAGGCTGCGAGAAAAGGGAAGAAATGTGTTTCTCTCGAAGGAAATTGAAACGGTCGGAAACGCGCGCGCTTTTAAGCGGTATCGATCGATCTAGGCTGCGGCTGTTGCGTAGTTTTCGTCGAAACGAAGAGATGTCGGTAAAGACGCGCGAAGAAAGGAAAACCCGGGGAAGGTATACGTATATGGATCGGAGTACATACACGCGTAAATATCGTTACGGACAATAGGTGGAGCCTGTTTGTGCACAGGAGTGGAGAAGTTATCGCGAGTTACACGCTCGACGATAGCGCACCTGGAGTTTCGTTAACGACGTCTCGTCATTTCGTTATCGCGAAAATTTTTTATCCCCTTTTTTTCTTTTTCTTTTCCAAAGTTGAGATTAAACGTGGCCGGTTGGACGATCGTCTAAGCTGGCAATAGTTTGGCCTTTTTACGGCAGCTGAAGAATCCGGGGACCGGTTGTTTTCGCGCGTAAAGTTCCAAAGGGAAGGCGAACGTTTTTTCTATCGATTATATTTGCCGTTTCTTCGAGTAATCGGATTTCATTCTCTCTTCCATCCTGCCGACAGGAACTGGGAAATTTTTCGAAATCGTTTATTGCTTCTCCTCTATAAATGTTTTTTGAGAAGTGATTTCGATTCTGCTTTCTGCCATGGATGGTTTGTATTATACACACACACGCGCGCTCGTATACGTACGTACGGAAGGAAGTAGGACGTGCGAGCCACGGAGTTCCCCGCGTGAAAGACGCCAGCCGTCGCGATGCCAGAAACCAGCTGCGTCTCAGCTGTTTTCTATCCGTTCCATCCTGTTTCTCTCTCTCTCTCTCTCTCTCTCTCTCGCTCGCTCGCTCGCTCCGTCTCTTGGTCTGTTTCTTTGTACGTTTTCGAGGACGTTTCGACATATCGAAATAAAATGCTAGATAGACGAGCGTGGCTCTCGAGGACGCGACGTTCCGCTGAACAGAACGGTTTAAATGCCTATAGCAGGAAGAAGGTACGAAAGTGGTTGGAGAGAGGGAAAAGGAAACGTGATTGGAGGTAAGAGGTGCGGAAATGGTCGATGAACCGATGGATTTGATCGATATTACGTGGTTAGACTATCGCGGCAGGAAAGGGGAAGGAGGTGGGAGAGCGGCGATGGGCCGGTAAAACGGGGAAACAGCTGTTTAATCTTCTCCGGTTCACCTGTTTCGTTGGATAGCCAGTTTTGGTTGTTTTGCGGGTGCACGTGCAGCCAGAAAAGGCTGTGTCACGCGTGTCGCAGAATACTCGGGCTTTGTGAACACGAGATACAACGAAAGCAGTCTCTAAGCACCGTACCGAGAACTAATCTCTTGGGAAATTACATAAGGTAATTTGGGACGGAAGGTTTCGAAGAGGATCGACGCGACAGGTTCTCTTCTCGTTTTCCTTCGGTTCGGAAAGTCGCGGTTAAAAAGTTGATCGACGTTTACCGTGGAACGTGTGGATCGAAAGAGCGAGTCTGGTTCGATCGAGCAACAGCTTCAGTACCTACCAGCAGCAACAGCGTGGTTGCGCGGAAATGCTGTAAAATCGGCTGACGCGGTTTCTCCCTCACGAGAGGAGTGACTTCGTGCTATTGACATCCGCTCCTCGTGGTATCGACATCTCTGTACAAGCCAGCTCGCGCCGGGAGCACGATTTTGCGTCACTTCCAGAGCGAGAGCTAGGAAAAGAGAGGGAGTGGTTGGGTAGGAATAAAGAGAGAGAGAGAGAGAGAGAGAGAGAGGGGAAATATGGTTGGACGAGAGAGAATATGCGCGCGAGTGGGTAGAATAATTTTCACGAGCGTGAAAATTAGCCGCGGCGATAAGTCGTAAATTAGCGGAGGCAGAGGTTCGGATCGGCGTGTAAAACGCGGGTTTGGTTGATCTGCGAGTGACGGGGCATCAGAGGTGGAAACTCAGGAGCGTTCGCCGCGCTCGTTCCGAATCGATGGACGAACGATTTTCGAGGCAGATTGATCGGTGGTGGTGTTGGTCGGCGCGAGGAAAGGAAAGTTAGCCGAGGATATAAATGGGCGGAGGGAAAATTGGCGAAAGACTCGGGTAGAAAGGTTATCGAGGAATTTCGGCGCGGTGACACGCGGCGCACACGTAGAGGAGCGTACGTGGCGATGACAGGACCGTGACGGAGTGCTAATAATACGTATAATAGGCCGGTGGAGCGGCGTTTGTCTGCGGCCGGTGTGCGTCGGTGTGCGTCGGTGTCCGTCGGTGTCCGTCGGTGTGGTCGCGCATGAATTTCACCCGATAAACGGGGACAGCAGGGATGCTGAGACAATCCTCCTTTTTCTTCCTTACGTCTCTTCTTCGAACGTGGCCGTGGCCGTTCAGTTTCCCGCGCGCCTCGTCCACGCGGAACCACCTTGTCGATCACGATCCCGGATCGCTTGTCCGTACCGATCGAAAACCAGCGATAGTTGCCGCCGGGGCGAACAGAGGTTGCGTGGTACACGTAGGTTGCAAGCCACCACCTCTACCTCTCTCTTCCTCGTTCTCCAACGGTCGGCGTCGTTCTTCCAGTTCTCCGACGAGACGTTCAGTCGGCTGGCGACAGCCGTCCGTGCCTCGCGTTCCTTCGTGTCGCGCACGCCCCGTTTCCTCTTCTTCTCTGCACAGAGATTCGCGATCGCGCGTCACAGAGCGTTGGAGCGTACCGTCCGGTGATGGTTCGAGATCGAGGAAGTTGCAGCTCGGATGCAGGATGGTTTTCCTAGCTCGTGGATCACCGCGGTTTCCTTAAATCGGTCGGTGAGGTTTCCATCGAGAGTTGGTGGGTGCATCGGTTCGTGTTCCTGTCTCGTTGGATTTTCTCGTTGCCGCGCCACGCTGACACGAAGAGGACCGATCGGAGCGCAAGAGGTAGGCAGATTTCGTTTCTTCTTCGGAAACGATCGCCTTCGATAATCGTATCGAAGAGGCGATTAACTATCACGTCGGTGGTATTTGCTCGTCTCGAGGTAGAGAGACGTTTGTGCGGGCACGTGTGTCGAACGGTTGAGCGGTGCTCGAGGAGTAGAGAAATAAGGAGCGAGATAGGAAAACTGTCAGGTGCGTCGCTTCGCACGATCTTCACCGATAATCGTTCCTCGATTTTTACACTTTTTCCCTTGGCAATTCTAACCGCGGTAAAAGTGTATAGAGAAAAAGGGGAAACCGCGGAAATGGCGAGACGCTGTTTACGCGTAGGGCGCATGGTACGAGATCTCGATCGAGACCAAACGGATCTCGCGCGTTTCCGCGAATACGTTTAGCGTTGAAGGAAAGGGTGTGAAAGGGGGCGAGCTTCTGAGGTTCTGTGCGTGCATACGCGAGATACACGCGGCGCTTGCTTCCGTTGGCCCGCTCTCTATCTCTCAAGTATTATATCGATTAACTGTTGGTAACAGAAGAGAGGCAGAGGAAAGCTAGCTCGTCGGAGGGTGGCATGCCTTTGGCTTTCCTATATTATTAATCTTGCTCTCTCTCCTCCTCCTCCTCCTCCTCCTCCTCCTCCTCCTCCTCCTCCACATCTCTCCCCTCTGCTCTCCTCGGCTTTTCTGCCACATACACGGCCAACCAACCCCAGTCGGAAAGACTTCCGAAAAAGAGGTTGCGAGGAAGTTGAGCCTCTCTGGCTGTGTAACGCGTCCGAATAGAGATGGTAGGAATCTAACGCGTGGTAAATCGAGCCGCGTATATTTTTCCGCGATGTCTCTGGTCCTCGCTGTTAAACGCCGCCAAGTCCGCAGCCCGCTGCTGCACAAGTCCGATTCGGAGAACCGCAGGACCGCACGATCCGCCGGCGACACATCGGCGACACATCGGCAACACATCGGCGACTAGGTTCGACGAAGAGAAATCGCAACGAAGCATCGATAGGTCGGTGGAGGGAGCGAACGCGTAATTCGTGGCACGCGCACAGCTTTTTCGTCGCGCGGTGCACCGCAATTTCTGATGGTTTTTCAGCCGGTTACAGTGAATCGGGCGGGATAGCAGGCGCGACGGACGGAACGTCAAATGCCCGAGGCTGAGCGGGACGCGTGCATGCTGCTGTCCGTGACATCTTGATGATATGCTCGTTCCTCGAGGTAGCGAAAGCTCGCTGATAACGCGACCGCGCGCGGCCGGCCAGGTCGACGCGAACAGGCGGAGAAGGAGTGGCCGATGCTGGCGCGGGGAGGGGGGAGGGAGGACGGGGGCGCATCATCAAAGGTCGGTGCGAGCAAGAAGACACACGGTGGCTGTGCGTGACATTTTTGTAATGAAAGCAAGCTAAACGTACGGTAGTCAGAGTACGGCAGACATCTGGTCTGGCTGGCTGCCTCTCGCCTGGCCGTTCTAATATTGGAAATTGCGTCTCCACCCGCGCGCGCGACCTCCTCTCCGGCCCGAGCAGAGCACCGTACCATGTGCAGGACATATGTATAAACATAAGCTCAGTCTGCCACGATGCTGAAACCGTTTCCTTCGAAACGTGCCCGCGATCGATCCATCGCGCGTACCACTCTCCCTCGGTGAGCTTTTTCTGCCCGCGGGCTTCTCTTCGTTCGCTCTGCCGCCGCGCTACGAGTCGGCCAACGGAGGGTTGGATCGGAAAAATCACGTACGTGATCAACACTGTTGATATCGCGCGCAATTACCAGCGGCAGAGCCGTGGATTTTCTGCCATGGCACGTATATCGTTTTCCACCGACTCCGCGCTCTTGTTTGCTCAACTAAGCGTCTTAACGAATTGCCGCGGACGCGCCACTACCCCTCTGCCCTTCCCCGCAGAAACGTCTCTTCGATCGTCCTCTCTCGATGCTAGCCGATCGCGCCTACCGGTCTCAGCCGTCTCACACTTGCGGCAACCGGGTCGCGCGAATTCCACGCTACCAGTCTGTAACAACAGAAGGAGATGACGGCTCGCCCGTCACGCCGATTCCAATTATTCGAGCCATCTGTCGCGATATCGAGAGGCTTTTTTTTCCAACCACCGATGCACGTAAGTACATTTACGTACGTGTGTATCTCTTATCGGAATTTTTAGGAAATTGGCGATCGAAGAGGCCGTTAATTTATCGGTCTTTCGGCTGATTAGCGTTTTCCGCGCGGCGGCAGTTGCCGAGGCAATTTTCTCGGGAAAAATTACGGACGGTCGTTTCTTGAACGAAAGGAACGAGCGAGCGAGCGAAAGAACGAACGAACGAACGAACGAACGAACGAACGAACGAACGAACGAACGAACGAACGAACGAACGAACGAACGAACGAACGAACGAACGAACGAACGAACGAACGAACGAACGAACGAAGAAAGGAACGAACGAACGAACGACTCGTTTGCATTTCGCGTTAATAACGAGAGCATGTGGCGTCCCGAAGCTCCGTAGCCTCGTCGCCTCGCCGCGCCGCGCCGGCCTGCCAGGGCTGTGCATCGATAAAATAAAATTCCAACGGCGCGACGGCCACGCACCACGTGGATCTTAAACCTTACTCTTTCCGCTTTCCTCCCTCCGTTTCATTTTTTCCTCTCTTCAAGTCTGGTCCGTATCGTTTCCGACCTAGAACGCTCGCGGTAAACTAGCTTTCCCCGTTTTATTCCACGTTTAACGCCACGTCGAACGTTCGGTATTACGCGCCGTTATTTATTCGCACCGGGGACGTGCAATTATTTGGATATTCAGCGCGTGTCGGCGAATCGCGCGATAGATCCTCCTCCGTTGGTTTGTAAAACTGCCGCTCGGTCGTTCCATTAAAATCAGTCATCGGTATGCGCGGCCGGCCGCTGCTCGGCGAGCACGTACACGCGAAATATGCATTCACCGTGGCAATCGCGAAATGGAATCGATCAAATACGAATCGCGGCGCGCGCCCGCCGATACTTTGCCGGACACTTGACACACGCGTCGCTCAGCGTCGCTTCGCGTCGGGACAATTTCCGTTCGAACAAAAAAAGAACGCGTCCGTGAGCCGGTTGAAGAGAAAGTAGCGAATCAATGGATCGCATGTTGATCGCAGGCAAGAAGTTGGCCCACGAGAGCATGAAGGCGGAGGGTGGAATGGCGAGCAGCACGATCCTGCACAAGGTGAAGGTGAAGGAAGAGGCGAAGGAGTGCTGCGGTGGCTCTCAACAGCCGTCATCGACCACGACGATGACGACGACGACGACTACTACGACGACGACGACGATGATGACGACGACGACGACGACGACGACGACGAGGATGACGACGACGACGACCAGGACGAGGATGATGACGGTGACGAAAACGACGATGACAAAGATAAAGACGACGACGAGTGAATTTCTTTCAACCATTTCTTTATACTGAACAATTCGTTTTGAATCGCGTCGGTAAACTGATGTTCGTACTTCAAGCGGAACCGCGAGCATCGCAACCACTACCGGTTCGTGCAATAGCGTCGCGAGCAACAGCAACGGGGTGCCGAGTGTGAACGCTTCGTCTCAACCTTCGAATGCTCCACACCAGCACACCCCCGCGATCGCCTGTTACCCGTCGGCGCCAGCCTCGTCCGTCCTCGTCAACACGGACTCCTTTCCCGTCGATCTCGATCTCAAGACCAAGATCAGGGGTTCGTTCGTTGCTTTTTTACACTCGTTCGACCGTATAGAGAAAGTTTCACCGCGTCTACGAATAACGTATTTACGGTAGTTGTGTTTGAAATTGCCGACAAGCGATACACGTGGCTGGACAGTGGAAGTCGCGTTTCGAGTCTGGGCGCGAAAACGTGTGTGCGTCGGCTTAGCTGTGGGCCGCGTCGAACGTCACTTTGGAATACGTATTGCATAGGGGTACCCGCATGGACCGGGTTCGCGACTCTGTACGTTCAAACCGAACAACCAACCAACCAGTTATCTAGACGGGCCGGAGCCCGCAGCTACTTTGGAAATGGGGCTCGGGAAAAAAGGGGCATGCCTCTCGCGCGAAACCTCGGTCCTCCGCGATCGATCGGTTTTCCAATTCAATCACGCGACGTCCTTTCGGACCTCCGGCTATAAAAGGATTTACAACGCCGCTCTCTGCGAGTCTGTCAGAGTCCGAGAAAGCGCGTGGACATCTGGTTAGGTGATCAGAGACACGTTTCTTTCGCCTCCGTAAGTCCCCCCCTCTGGATCTCTACGGGAAAGAGATGTAACAGGGAGAGAAAGGAGGGTGGAGTGAAGGAGTTTAGGATGGCAAAGAGCACGTGCAAGCAGGCTGGGGTAAGTGGCGCGGGTGTGTGCGCGATCGCGGAAGCGGGGGTAGCGAAACTGCTGCGAGCAGTCAGTCAAGCCGGAGGCGGGTGGTTGGGCTTGGTGTGTTGGTTAGGTAGGTCGGTTGGTTGGTTGGTTGGTTGGTTCGTTCGTTCGTTCGTTCGTTGGTTGGTTGGTTGGTTGGTGCACTGGCTGACTGCCTGGACCAGACGCGATAAGGCACGTCCAACACTTCCAGCGGGATTCTGCTCGAGGCTGATATCATATCCGGTACACCGTCGGCATCCCCGACGTTGCCGTTCGAGGTATTTTGCGATAGTCGGCCGCACTGCGCCTCGCCTCGCCTCGCCTCGCCTCGCTCGTTCGTCCTCGCATCTCCTTCTTCCGGATATGCTTACGACGTACAACCGGAGCGCATCCGTCCTCTCTCTCTCTCTTTCCCCCACTGAAATATTAAAATCGGAATTCGCTTCGATCCAAAATACCTACAAGTATACGGATACACGCAGGAGGGTGGGACGGGTCGAAGAAGTATTGCCTTAGGAAACGGGGGAAAAGGAGGAGATGGAAGAAAGTGGGAAAATCAGCCCTGGAAGCGATGGACGAGAATGAAGCGAGTGTGGGAAAAAGAGAAAGAGCGAGGAGAGTATGGGGTGGCTAGGAAGGGATTGCGATCAAAGCCATCTGTTGCATTGTCCCGGCAATTAGGAGGCGACAGCTGAGTCCCAGCGTACTTACTTCCAGCCAGGGACTCTCAGCCGAGTGGAGCACGTGCGCTTTATCGATCTCTGTTGGTGCTCGTGGAGGAACGGTCGTCTACGAAGACAACGAGCCGCTTCTCTCGCGTGTGCTCCAGGTGGCACCGAGGCCGCGTCACGTCGCCTCGAGAGAACGGCCTATTTAATATTTACAATTTCATTTTCGCCGGTTGACTCTCGATAGGTTGATTTTACCTGATTGCCCGTTGGCTACCGCCGACGTCAGGTGGCAGTGACACCCTCGTTTAGATACCACTTGCAACGTGGAGAAATGTCGCGTAAGGGAAGATGAAAAGTAGACGAGAAGAGATAGGAAAAGGTTGTTCGGTTTGGTTATCGACTCACGTACACTTGGCGTATGCATACATAGGTGTGTACCATGGAGGCGTTTTGGTACGCAT